GTGCCTAAAATGTCATAATAGTTTAAGATGATGTGACTTTAAACATTCCAATGATAATAAAATAAGTTAAAAGTTGAAAATGTTATGAATATCCATAAGAAATTCGGTTGCGCCAAAAAATGTTATGATTCACTAAGAAAGTAAGTTGTAATATGAAATGTTAATTTTCTTTATAATAAAATCGCTTACGCTTAAAATGTTACCAAAGTTTAAGCTAATGGACCTTAGACATTCTTACGATAACAAAATAAGTTAAAAGTTAAAAATGTTATGAATATCTATAAGAAATCTGATTGCGCCAAAAAATATTATAGTCCACTAAGAAAGTAGGTTGCGATCTGAAATGTTAATTTTCTTTATAATAAAATCGGTTACGTCTAAAATGTTACCAAAGTTTAAGCCAATGGACCTTAGACATTCTTACGATAACAAAATAAGTTAAAAGCTGAAAATGTTATGAATATCTATAAAAAAAAATCTGGTTGCGTCCAAAAATATTATAATTCACTAAGAAAGTAGGTTGCGATCTTGAATGTTAATATTTTTATTATAATAAATTAGAAAGTATCGATACTTTCAAATTTAAAAAGACATGAAACCAAACGCTCAACCATTAAGCCAGGTTTGTAATTTGTTTTAGACTTTCTAACTTACAATATATAGCTTATATTTTAAATTCTTAATATATATTAACTTTTTTTTATTAGGTTAAGGTTATTATAAAATAATATATGTTCTAAATATTCTCGATCATATAATAATGAACGTTCAATCACCATGTTGTAGCTGCCAATGCTCGAACTCGTGACTTTTAAGAACAAAAACGATTTCTTTCATCACTAAAATAAATTGGTTCGTGCTAATATATATCTTAACTTAAATTCACATATTAAATTAAATTCATATCTCAACTTTAAAAAAATATATTTTATTTTATCTTAAATTAAAATTATATTTTATTTTTATCTTTAACTTAAAAATTATATTATTCTTATTTTAACTTAAAAATATATTTTAATCATATCGTATCTTAACTTAATTAATATATTTTATTTTAATTTAACTTTTAAAAATATTTTTACTTTAATGGAGATCAACTTTAAAAAATATATTTTATATCTTAAATTATTATATAGAGTTTATTATTTTCTTAATATAAAAATATATTTTACTCTTACTTTAACTTAAAAAAGTATATTTTATTATTATCATATTTTTTTTAAAATATTTTGTTTTTATCTTGACTTAAAAGTATTCAAAAAATATATTTTATTTCTTCTTAACTTAAATATATTAATATTTTGAAATTAAAACAAAAAAAAATATATTTTGTATTTTATAAATTTTTTTCTGTCATAAAGTTTAAGATATAAAATACGTTATAAAATCTTTCCGATTGCGGTGTTTGACGTGATGGTAAAGTTGCAGAAACCTCTCCTCTGGGCATGAGTTCAATTGCCAGTAGCTTTAATTGGCGTGATAGGAAGGTGATTATTGATATAGTTTACCTTAATTTTTACTATAGTTTTCTACTTTCTTATTTATTGCAGAGCCTAATTGTTCTTAACCATTAGATAACATTATAATAATGCAAAAAGAAAATTCACACACACACATGTATCTTTTGATCAAATGCCCTTTTAGCAATTTAATTTTTTTCACTCGGACGGTGATATGTATTGCTATTTGATCAAAAGAAAAATATTAAACTAAAATTAATTTAAAACAAATTATAAATATTAACGGTTAAATATATTAATTTTTTGAATTAAGATTAAACTGATTAATGATAAAGATATGAATGAACAAAAGAAATAAATATGAAATTAAAAGCATGGTGTAATTAAATGGTGAATTCATAGAATTGATCCAAAAAAGATGGATGGGCAGGGTGTTTTGTTGGTTGAAAAAGTCAAGAAAAGGAAGTTAAAAACCACTGTGATTCTCACCGAATCCTATTCTTAGAATCTGATGTAACCTTCGCCAGCTCCCATCATTGAATTCAACCTCTCCCCCATACTCGTATCCAACAATGGCTACACCAGCCTCCCCTCAATCCAAACTTTACCTAAACAACAAAACCCCTCTTTTCTCCACGCAGCAGCGGCTCGTTTCTTCCCGGAGCTTTTCCCCTTTTCCGGTCAGTTATGGCCGCTGTTCGCTTCCTCCTTTTCCTTCCTCTCCTTGCTTCTCTTGCTCTTCTTCCCTCCCTCCCTCTCTCTCAATCCGATGACGAGAAAGCCCTCCTCAAGCTCAAGAAATCTTTCTCCAATGCCAAGTTAGATTCTTGGGTCTCCGATTCCGATCCTTGTCAGAAAAAATGGCTCGGTGTTCAGTGTTCTGGTGGTTCCGTCGTAGCCCTCCATTTGACCGGTTTACAGCTTGCCGGTCAAATCGACATTCAGGCTTTGCTTCAAATTCGTGGGTTGAAAGCCGTCGGCTTTATAAACAACTCCTTCACGGGTTCCATCCCGGAGTTCAATAATCTCACTTCTTTAAGGGCTATCTATTTGTCTCAGAATCAATTCAGCGGTGAAATCTCCAATGATTATTTTTATCCCATGGAGAATTTGAAGAAAGTTTGGTTGAACGAAAACAAATTCAGCGGCAAAATCCCGGATTCGTTAATGCAACTCCCCAGTCTCATTGAGCTTCATTTGGAGTCGAATCAATTCTCCGGAAAAATCCCACGGTTGAAAAATCCAGAAGTTCTTAATTCCCTTGATCTATCGGATAACAAACTCCAAGGCGAAATACCTGCAAGTTTCTCCAAGTTTGAAGTAAGCGCATTCCAGGGAAACGACGGTCTTTGTGGGAGAATCTTGTCGAAAGAGTGCAACGAAACTCACGATTCTGATAGCAATGGCGAAACCTTGGCTAGCAAAGTTGACCAATCGGATAAAAAAGGAGCCTCGTCGGTGGATAAAACCCAAGGATCCGATTCGAAAGTAGTCGTTATTTTCATCGCCAGCATTGCTGCCGTGTTGTTGTTGGTGATAGTCGCCTTCGTTATGGCAAAGCGGCGTAGGAGGGAAGATGATTTCAGTATCTTAAGCAAAGAACCGTTAAAAGAGGAGGTTCTTCCCGTCAAGGAGTCGCAATCTCAATCGACGACCACCACGAAGCGGAAGAAATCGGAAACGAGCCGCCGGAGTACTTCCTCGAAGAAAGGGTCGTCGAATGGGAGCAAGGGTGGGGGAGCTGACTTGGTTATGGTGAACGACGAGAAGGGTGCACTCGGGATGCAGGATTTGATGAAGGCGGCGGCGGAGGTTCTCGGGAACGGCGGGTTGGGGTCGGCGTATAAGGCGGTGATGGAGAATGGGTTGGCGGTGGTGGTGAAGAGGATGAAGGAATTGAATCGGCTGGGAAAAGAAGCATTCGACGCTGAAATGAAACGGATAGGGAAATAAAGGCACCCCAATATATTGACGCCATTGGCGTATCATTTTAAAAAAGAGGAGAAGCTGGTTGTTTCTGAATATATGCCCAAGGGAAGCCTCTTATACGTCCTGCATGGTATGATTTCACATGCTCAAATTGGTCCCCTATATTTTAAAACCATTCCAATTGCATCACCAAATTAAGGTAGATGATCTGATTCAGGTGATCGAGGAATAATTCACGCTAATCTAAACTGGCCAACACGTTTGAAGGTCATCAAAGGAATCGCTGATGGCTTGGGTTTCATTCACACAGAGTTCGCAACGTACGAGATTCCCCATGGGAACCTTAAATCCAGCAATGTCCTCTTAAACGACGACTACGTGCCATTGCTGAGCGAATTCGCGTTTCAGCCATTGACGAACCCCGACTCTCTTCCCCAAAGATTGCTCGCTTACAAATCTCCAGAATACCTTCAATCCCAACAAGTCTCCCCCAAATCCGATGTTTATTGCCTGGGAATCCTCATCCTGGAAATCATTACAGGCAAATTCCCATCTCAGTATCTAAGCAACGGCAAAGGTGGGATCGATATCGTTCATTGGGTTCAAACAGCCATAGTTGAAGATCAAGCAGCCGATTTGATTGATCCCGAGATATCAGATGGTTCAAGTTCGATCCATCAGATGGTTCAACTCCTCCGTATTGGAGCTGCTTGTACTGAAAGCAATCCCGATCAACGGTTGCCGCTGAATGAAGCCATTGACAAGATACATGAGGTAAATTCGTAATTATTTAACCGCACGTTGCAGACCCATGTTTGTTGTCGGATAGAAATGCCCTAAAAAAGAAAAAAGAAGAAGATTTGAGGTTGTCGGAAAGCAACGAGACCATTCATACAAAGCATGGAAGATCGTTGTGCATAGCATTTTTTATGGTTGTTTTTCAGTAAAGAACCCCTTTTTAAATGGCTTTGTATAAGGTTAATTAGAACAAGTAATCTCGGAAAAGTGAAAAATTTTCATTAAAAAAACACAAATTATTAGGACAATTTCAAACCAAAGTAGATTCACTGTAATGTTGTTGATATGTTTGAATGGCAATGCAAAAAGGTCAGTTGTATGAACGGCAAACCTTCTCTTTTCTTTTTATTATTATAAACTTTCATGGGTTAAGTTTCCTTGTTCGAATAATTTATATAAATATTAGTAAAAAATATATTTAAATATAAATGTTTTTATTGTTATATAGTAATTCAAGTTACATGCAAATTAGGGTCCGTTTGGAACGGGGAAAACATTTTACTCGTTTTCAGGTGTTTGGTTCGCGGAAAACCTCAAGTCAACGTAAAATGTTTTCCAGTGAATGAAAAATTGAGGCTTAAACACGGTATTTCGACTTACCATTTGGAAAAGGGTAAGTCGAAATCCAAATTTCTCGCGGCCCTTGCTCCACACAGAAACATCGTAAATTCTTTCTCCCGTCCCTTGCTTCACACCGGCGACTGCTTAGAATCCTTCTCACCGGCGAGGCGGGCAGTCGTATTCTCAGGCATGTCTCGTTTCTTCTTCTCCCTTTTCTTTTTCCTACCCTAATTTTCCATTTTCTTCGAGTTTACTTCTCTCCTCTGCTTTTTATATATTGCATAACTTTCTCCTTTTTATTTTTTTTTTTTTTGGATTCGTTCTGCTGATTTTTGTTGATCTTTCTTTCTTTTTCCGGGCTTTGTTGCCCTTTCGCCATTGAAATCCATGATCTTCAGTATCTCATGGACTCATCTCCAGTGCACACCACTTCTTCACCCCATGAACAAGAAGAGTGGGCTATATTAGCTCTCTTTCTCTGGTTGTTTATCTGGAAAATTCTGGTAATTAGAAGGATTTTGGATCTTTAGCTAAAAATCAAATTTTTATAATTGGGTTTTTGTTTATTTTTAATTTTTAGATGTGGGGTTTTTTAGATTCTACTGATATATGTGAGAGAATTGAATATTTTAATAGATTCACTATGAATATTGGACGATATTTGGTATTTATAATTATCTATTTTATTTTTTTGTTGATTTTCTCTTGATTGGTGGATCATGATTGTATACATATCTTGCTATATTCAGTTGAGGTTTATGTGTTTCCTTCATTATCATGCTATTATAGTATCTTGTATTATTCTTTATTGCTTTAGTTGGTATCTGGTTACCTTTGTATAGAATGTGATGATCTTATGCATAAGTTCATGAAGCTTCACTTTGTGGAGGATATCGGTGTGAGGTATAAATAAAAGAATAGATAACTTGGCATCTCTTGGATAAACTTATAAACTGGCAAAAGAAAGCATGTTTGTATTTGCAGATGCATAAGTTCATGAAGCTTTAATTATTCATTGTTCTTTTATTGCCTTTGGTTTTATAGAAAGATGATAGTAAAAACAGATACATTTTTGTTTAACTCATCACTTGCAGGTTTGCAATTGCTTGACATTCCGATTCCTGTCTCTTGTGCCTGTATATGTTGCTGACTTTTTTCTGATTTCCATTAGTTTGTTGTTTATGTTTCCTCAGCAAGTTACCTCTTGTAGGGCGGGGGCATTTGGTTGGGTAGGGATGTTTCGCCACTAGTTGTGCAGATCATTATATCTTGGCACATAGTTCATAGATGGATGTGCTAAGTGGCCTCTTGTAAAGTGTCATCTTTTAGGATTAGAGAGAATATGCTGTATCATTTTCTGATCGTTATCAGTAGAGAGGATGAGAGTTTCCATGTCTCCAATGAACATAGTGAATTAGTGATTTATTGTTGTGAGGTTTTTTGCTTTGATAAAGTTACTTGTTAATGTGCTGAGACATTGTTTATATTTACTTCCTTTGTTTTAGAGTCTACTCATTTATTTGAAGCCTTTTGTCTTGTTGACGAATAGACGCTAATATGTAGACTTGTTTATATTTCTTCTTGTGTAGACCAAAAAAGGAGAGAACATTTACTTGGGACCGCATGGTGCACCACCATCACAATCAAGGCAGCAGGAGCTGAACCTGTCCAGTCGTAAGCAACGGTTTAAACAAAAACTAAAAGAAGCTGATAGAAGGATCGGTGGGGCAGGGCAAGAGAACAAGGTGGAAAATTTGAAAGAGCTTGTATGTGGTGGGAAAACAAGCCCCAACATGTCCAAGGGTTCCCCCGGGGATTGGCTAGACCCACATTGCGATGAGTCACAGTTTGAGAAGTCGTACCCCCAGTGAATCAAAGCTTTTTGTGGCTTAAGATACTTAAACGGTGCAAAGTTTAACATATCCGCACCATTTATGATAAGTCTTTGTCTTGTTGTATGCAAGCGAATTACTGAGCTTATGTAGTTTGACAGTAATCCATCAACCAAACCATTTGGTTTTAGTACTAATGAGAAGACATTGAAAGTCATATTTTTGAAACTATTATTATTATTACAATGTTATGTACTATTGTTGTTTTAATTTGATGTACTATTCATTAAACATTCTTAGGATTTATAAGTTTTTATAAATATATTTTTAATCTATTATTAATATTATCTAAAATACATTTTTTTATAAAATATAATTATATATAAAAATGAACCCTTAAAAATAATAAATAATAAAACATATCAAATATGTACATCTTCTTTATTAAAAACAGATTTTGAAAATAGTTTTCAGGAAAATTAACCAAACAGTATAAAACATTTTATAATGTACCATCAAAACACTGGAAAATGTTTTTTGGAAAATGATTTACATTTCTGTAAAACATTTTTCAGATTTCATTTTCCGGAAAATGTTTTCAGTGAAACAAACATACCCTTATTAGTTTGTGAACTCTTAAATTAACAATCTACTATTTGTTATCACGAAGTACTTGAACTATTTTATGCTCATGATCAAGAACTATAAAAATTTTCTTTTTTATGTTTATTTTGCGAATTAAGATTTTAAAATTTAAATTTTTATTAAGTAAATGATTATAATAAAATGGATGCAATAAAGATAAATAGTTAAAATTCAATGCAACATATAATTGAAAAGTATAAAAATATGAACTTTAATCCAAGATGTTCTGGAATTGTCACCTATATTGTTCCTCTACAACAAACAAGTAATACTTGATTAGTATAACATTAATCTATGCGATGGCCAAATGGTAGCAAAGGGCAAGTGAGTTATATTTATTGTCGAGTTATTTTAGGTTGTGTAGAAGATAGTTTATCATGTCTTCTTCATCACAATTTTTACATTATCCGGTGAATCCTGCTAATATGTATGGGCTTCAACTTTTTTAGTTTATCTTTTGCCTTCCTCTTATTTCAGACATTTTTAACAAGTGGTGGGATGATAGGCCCAGTTCTAAATTTCTTCTAATCTGGAGACCCATTTATAAGTTGCAGAGCAGATGTATAGGATTTAGTACTCGTCTAGGTTTCTACTTGTATGTCATATTGTATAACAGACGTGAGCAATAAGGAATTCCACATAGCTGTCAGTGCCATCTTATACAAGTACAAATGTTCTTCAATTTCCTTGCTACGTTCACTTTCTGTCATGGTATACTGCTATCAGATTGACATATATCGGAATATTGCACGAGTCACAATAAGAATTAAAGATCTTGAACGAAAGTGCAGTGATCAACACCCGGACAATAATCCAAGACATAAGTTTCCCATGAATTAAGCAACCATCGGCAGAAGTGCTAGCGTAATGCTTTGAAAAAAAAATGGCTTATTTGAGATACTGAAAAAATATTTTTTTTTAAAATAGGGTAAAATGAATAATGCAGGTGAAAAAGTCGATCAGAGTACCTAGCGTCTTCGGAAAAGCGACCGCAACACCCAACGTCTTCAAGCTTTTCATCTCCGTCTTCAAGTTATCTTCTACCGAAACATTATGGTTGACTTCCCATTTGCCGAAACGATTTTTTCGGATTTAAAAAAAAAATACATTCTTTAATTTATCTCTCTTTTTTTGGTTAATTTTTTAATTAAAAGTAAATGTGATTTAAAAAAAATCTCTCGCTTCAAAAACTTTGGGATTCCCTTTAAATAAAATAAAATACAGTTTGAGGAGTCGTCACCAATATTTGATTAGGGTGTGATTGGGCACCCAAAAATATTTTGTCATTTTAAATGAAAAAATAATTTTAATTAAAACGACAAAATCACGGTTTGCATACCAGAAAAATGAGTTCGGGAGCCGGTTACATGCGGGGAAGGATCAACACCCCCACAATGCCCTAAATCGGTACCTAGTCGATTAGTTAATTGTCTTTGCATTGAAATTCATAAATTCGAATTTAATTTAGCTTATGATCCCATAGAACAACAATTTATGAATTTTAAAATGAAATCTAATAATATTTAATTATTTCCTATCGAGAAGAAAACAACTCCTCAAACCTTGAAGCAATCAATTCTCACTCCAATTGAAATAAAGAAATATTTCGGTTCCATCATAATATTCAAATGCACCAAACCAAATTAAATTAAAAATTACCAATCCTTTTTATAAAGAAGAAGGATATTCGATTATTTAAATACATCGATATCAGACCTTAGACAAGTTTTAACAATATTTTCTCGAAGAATTTAAATATTTATTTTTCTTTTGTTCCCAAATTTTTGGGTTTCACTAAACGTGATACACTTTCAGTTTAAAATCATCGGAAGCGACTTTCTAATAAGTTAAGACAATCACTTCTCAATGACCTTAAAATGAAAGGGTATTACCCTTAGTCAAATTATTTGAATCGAGTGAAGATATGCTTTTGAGTATATCATGCGTATTAATGAAAGGATGTTATGTGACTAAGCATTCATACGAACCTACACATTCTAAAAGCACTCATAAACCTGTACTAAATTAATTTACAAAGATCCATTATTCATACATGTACCTTACTTTGGTAAATGAACGAAAAACATGCCAATTTCACACAACTATATCACGTATTTAATATATATGTGCTAACATAATAATATATTTTATAAAGGAAACAAGGGATTATAACATACATTCACATAACCAAGCATTAATATAATATAAAAAGTACTTACGCATATACAATGAAAACATAGTTAAATGTAGGGGTGTAAAAAGCTGATCCGAATTGTAAAACTGGCTGAAACCGACTCGAGTTAAAACTGTCACAAAACTGTTTTTGACTTGCACTGTGATGATCCGAAACCGACTTGAGTCGGAACTGGTATTGACTTGAACCCGAGTTGGACCTGTAAATTGTAGATCTGAACCAGACCTGAGAACGACCTGAACCCGAATTGAACCGAAAATATGATACCCGAACTGTATCCGACTGATATGAACCAGAACCCGAGATTGACCTGGTAAATAACTGGTATTATCCGACATGTTTTCAACCTGACTTGTTATGAACCTGACATGTAATTGACTTAACATGTAAATGATCCGAAATATTGTTAAAGTGATTTGATATTGTCCAAACTTATAAGTAATAAGTTACAATTAATATAATTATGTTATTTTAAATTTATAATAAATTTATGATAATTAAATTAATATGATTACTTTTTAAAATTTAGTTTTTATATTAACTATAATTTGTATATTATAAATTTGATTTTTATATTAATTCCAATTCTTTATATTATTTATAATTCTTATATTATAAATTTTATTTATAATCACTAAATTAAATTTAAATATTGTCTTATGGAACATGATTTTATTAAATTATATAAATTGAGTTAAAATATTCATAAATCTAATTTACTTTTAATGTTAAAATTGATTAATAATTTAAGTATAACTTAACTTAAAATTTTAAAATAAAAATATATTAGTTAAAATGATGAACTTATTAAAGATTTGAAACTTGAATAACATTACAAATACTAAAACAAAAAAATTATAAATGAAATTAATTTTATTACACTTGAAAACACTAAAATTACAATAAAATCAACTAAACAAAATAAATTTATGATGGAATAAATGATCTAAGATCTTATAGCTAAGGTTTTACAAGGCTAAAAGCCTAGCTATACTACCAGAAATATTGTCATCGAGCCTTTATACCTAAATACTGTCAACATGTTTAATTATGGGCAACATTCTAACTTTAAAATCCAAAATGCCACCAACATAATTCCACATGAGTAACTATTTAGATAAGAATTTATAAAGTTCAAAAATTGATTTAAGTCACAAACAACAATAATTTACAAGGCATCAGTGACTAATAAACAGCAGTAACCAGCAAGCATCAATGTACCAATTCGGCAAGCAGCATTGCATCAATTCAGCAAGTATCATGCATTAAGAAAGCATACAATCAGTGGTAAAGCCAAAGGGAATTCGATGGCCAACAGTGTCCAACATTTCCGACTTTACCAAACCCTTACAATTTAAACATAAAGCCTGCATTGAGATTCAACAAATAAGAATCACATAGGATATTGAGAAACAACTAGAAACATACTAGAGATTAAGGACTAAAAGAGCTCACATCTAAGCTAGAATAACCCCACAAGCTGAGTTTCTTTAGTCGGCTGTGTTTGATGATAAGCTTCTGGTACATAAGGTGCAGTTTATTGTTCAATACATTTGGAACTTCACTGTCAGAATTTTGATCAGAATAACTATCACTGATGCTAGACCTGAAATGAAGCAACAAGCATCGAGAATATTTAGCCAAAGAATAACTAATAAAAAGTAATCCCTTCAAACCAGCACATATAAACGGAAAAACTAATTAAAGCTGGAGCAAAACTTACCCACTTAGATCAAGCAATTCTAATCTAGAATAGCTTGAAGCAATAGCAGCAACAGATGCATCGGTGATGTCTGAGCCAAGAACAAGTGAAAGCATTTGCAAGCCCCTGAACAATAGACAACCTTTATTAAACTAGTGATTATTTACCCTCTAAATGCAGAGATCCCTGAAACAAAACATGGCATTGCTAGAAAACTGAACAAAGTGGCTACTCACGGAAAGAACAAAAAGAAGCAAAGTGGATGGTTTTATCAAGAGACTTCAACAAAATCATCTGTCTTTACAAGGAACCATCATCCTCGACTAAAAGTAGAGCACAAGACAGCTTAATTAGAGACATTCTTGCTTGTATGATTTGCGAGTGAGTTTATTTTCACATCTTGAAAGTTGTCAAATAACCTTCAATAAGAAAGATTAAGCCTGCAATAGTCCTAAGATTGATTGAATTATAAATAGTACTTGTATCACAACTTATTAATGGATTCATCCGACAAATACAGGTAATTCACCAGACTGCATAAACATCCTGATGCATTTTAGTTCCTCTTATCTGCTTGTTTTATAGGAAAATGTAATGTAAATTCATTCCAAACCAAAGTGTTCAGTTTCATATCTCTTATGTTTTGTTTCTTTCCTCTCTCTCATTATATACATGCAAAACATACAATACAAAGTCATTATATACTGCAGAGCTTAGATCTGAATAAACATTTAAGAATCTTCACATATATCATACTTTAAATTTAAATGTCATCATAGAACACTATAAAAAGAAAATAACTTATTTACTGAAAATCTCATATATAGCCAACTAAAAGTTAAAACAATAACTTCTACCTGAGCTTTTGAAAGATATAATCAAGGTCTGACTTCATATAGATTTTAACATGCGTGTATTTCTTGAAAAGTCACTGGAAACCTCAGCAAAGCAATGTTCTGAGTACTCGTTAAAATGAGATAAGACCGCATTGCTGTCTTGTAGCCTTCCCAAGCTGTAAGTTATGACACACAATCAAATTATAAAAAAGACCTATAATAATACAGGAATAAAGATTGCTAATCAAATCTAAGCTACTATTTTTGCAATCAAAATCAAGGAAAAAGCATAACAGTATATATAAGATAGTTTGCACTACATTCAATTGTAATAAATCCATAATCGTTTTGGTAGAGTACACTATTCCTGTTTTCTGTCGGGACAAAAATTTATCCACAGAACAAACATGTAAAGTGGATTCAGCTTGATACGTAACTCTTCTAAGTCACTCTCTGGATACATGCCAGGAGCCATACCTTGTTCACTCTAGTCCTCGAGACAAGGGCATGGATATAGAGCATGGACATATGCATTCATATCTACATAGCATCTCTTCAAATACAAAATAATCACTATTTATTTTAGATTGCAATAGAAAGAAGAAAAAAACCCAACTTTGTACAGTTTTACTACGTAATTATAGCAAACAAATGAACTTCTCAACAGAACATACAAAAACGAATTATCATATACGCCGGGAATCAAATCCAACCTTATTAATAAAATATAAGTAAATAGAGAAAAAAAAACGCAGAAAGAAAAAAGAAAAGGGAAAAGTACATGAGGAGCTGCAAGTGCCTGAGAGAATTCAAATCATTCGCATCGATTAGGGTTTTGAACTGACGAGACACCTCGTTCGAAGCTGCTCTTATCGATTCTATTTCTTTCTCGATTTCTGCCATTTATCTTTCTTCTACTATTTTATAATTGTTATTTGCACCTGAGAGCAAAAAAGTAAAGGATTTAGACGGAAAATGGAAAATAAGATGGACTCTATCTCTTCCTTTTGGATGCTGAGCGGGGAAGAAGAGGGAAACATAATTTTGGATGCATAGGGGGAGAGATTTTGATGTTGAGCGGGGAAGAAAATGGTTTTGGCACGTATTTTCATTTTCATCCCTATAAAATTTTTATTAATAAACTATTTATAATTAATATTAAAATAATTATATATTATAATTAATATTAATATAATTAATATTAATATAAAATATAGTCTATAAAATTAATATTAATATAAACTATATGTTATAAACTATATAGTATAGTTTATAAACTATAGTTAATATAATTAATATTAATATAGTATAGTATATAAACTATATACTATATTAATATAAATTATAGTTAAGATAATTAACATTAATATAAACTATATAGTACATTAATATAAACTATAGTTTATAAATTATATACAATAGGTTATAAAGTATAAACTATATAGTACTCTAATATAAACTATTGTTTATAAACTATAGGTTACATATATAGTTTATATAACATATAAATAGATTGTATATATACATATACTATAGGTTATATATATGTAGTTATATATACTATACATAGTTTGTACATACATATATTATAAGTTACATATATAGTTTACATGTATACATATACTATAGGTTACATATATTAACTATTGTTTATGCACAATGTTTAGAGTTTAGGGTTTAAGATTTAAGGTTTGGTGTTTAGTTAGAATATAGAGTTTGGGGTTTTTATAAACTATATACTTTATTACTTCATATAGTTTATGCATAGTATTTCTGTAAACTATATATATATATATAAATTATAATTTAGGATTTCTATAAATTATAGTTTATATAAATAGTATAAAATATAATATATAAATATAAACTATAGTATGTAGTAAATAAATATAAACTATAATTTATATATATAGTATATATTATATAAATAGTTTATATAGTTCACTAATAAACTATATATATAGGTCATATGTAAACTATATAGTTTACATAGTTTATATATATAGTTATATAGTTCATACATATAGTTCATATGTAAACTATATAGTATAAATAGTTTTAGTTTATATTGTTTATATATAGTTTAAATACTACTATCTATAAATTATATAATTTATATATAATTCCATAAATTAACCCTAAATCATAAACCTTAAACCAGATATATATATAAACTATATAGTTTATATTAATAAACTAAATAATTTATACAATATATATTATTTATAACTATACATAATACATAATATATAAATATAAATTGTATAATTTATATATATTTCATATATAATTTATATATAAACTATATAATTTATATTAATAAACTATGTAGTTTCTATATAGTTCATATATAAACTATATAGTATTATAGTTTTTACATGGTATATATAGTTTATATAGAGTATATATATATAATATATATAGTATATAATAATATAAATATAAAATATAGAGTTTATATATATAATACATATACTTTATATATAAACTCTATAGTTTATATATTATATATATATATATATATATATTATAGTTGTTTCAATTTTTTCTCAACTTTTGAAATGAATGCAATTTAGTCCATTTTACAATATTTTTTTTTCACATTTTACAATCATTTCGATTTGACCCCTTTGTGTTGTTTAATTTATTTAAATTTTAATTTATAATTTCATATTTATTCAATTTAGTCCTTAAAATTGACCCATACTTATTACTTATTTCTATTTTTGGCTCATAACTTTTTAAATGGGTATAATTTAGTACTTTGTATTAATTTAGTTGTAAAATTATTTTACAATCAACGTGTGTTGTTTAATTTAGTTAAATTTTTATTTGTAATTTCATATTTGTTCAATTTAGTCCTTCAAATTATATTTGCATAAGAAATTGACTCATACTTATTACTATTTTTTAATTGGTCCATAACTTTTTAAATGGGTATAATTTAGTATTTTTTGTATTAATTTAAATATCACAATTTAAAATTATTTCGATTTGATCCCTCATCAATGTGTGTTGTTTAATTTATTTAAAATTTTATTTGTAATTTCATATTTGATCAAATTAGTCCTCCAAATTATATTTGCATCTGAAATTGACCCATACTTATTACTTATTTATATTTTTAAATTGGCCCATAACTTTTTAAATGGGTATAATTTAGTACTTTTTGTATTAATTTCAACCACACAATTTAAAATTATTTCGATTTGATCCCTCATCAATGTGTGTTGTTTAATTTATTTAAATTTTAATTTGTAATTTCATATTTGTTCAATTTAATTCTTAAATTTGTATTTTTTTATAAAATTGAACCATGATTATTTATATTCTTAGTAATTTACTCTAAATCATATATAATTATAAATTGCAATTCAATGTTCGCAAAAGACTAAAATAATTAATCCAAAAATAAAAATTAACCAGATTTGAACTCAATTTGTATCTGATAGAGATTCGACCTGAATTTTACCAGCCAATGATGTTACCTGATCTGAACGAGATCCACCTGAAGTCCATTCGAACCTGAATTAACATTCTTTTTAACTGATTCGGACCTGAATTGGCATTGATCCTAATTGAAAGTAACCTAACCTGAACCCGAGATGTACCTGGTGTCAAATCAACTTGAAAATGACCCGATCTGATTTGGCCTAAACCCGACCTGATCCGAGTCGAAGCATCAAATTTACCAAACTTGACCTGTATCTGATTTTACCCGACCTGACAGGATCCGACTGAAACCTGAACCATTACCTGATTTTACATCCCTAGTTAAATGAACCAAAATAAAAGGGAAAAAACGTGGGATCATACAACCAAAGTTTAAAAAAAAATAAATAATATAAATAAAATAAAAATTCAAAGTCAAATATAAGATTTGAAACAGGGTAGCAATGAATTAAGGATTTTAACGGGCAGGTTCAAAATCAAATCAATTATATATATAAAGAAACAAAATACCATTAAAGCATGAAATATAAACATTAATAGATAAATGCAATAAATAAAAACGCTTAAATATGGAATACATGAAATAAATATCATAAGATAAAATACTAAAATTAAATATACGAATATGAAATAAAACAGGGAGTTAAATAACAAGGGAAATATGACTAATTTGTAACAGGAACAAAATCAAAGGAAAAATTCGAAAGTCAAAAACTCTAAAAAGAGGACTAACTTACATTAAAACTAAGAGTAGGGGAGCCCTTGCATAATAAAACCACAACGTGAAAATAAGCAATCCCAAACCTAGATAAAAACGACACTTCTGGAGGCACCTAATTAAAGCCTCTAAATGAGGTTTTAAAACAAAACCTAACCCCATTAGAATCATTTTTCCCTAATCACTCTCCCCTCAGCGTCGTTTTCCCTCCTCTCAGCCTTCATCTCTTCCTTTTACTTTCTTCTTTTGAGCCCACGGCCACCACGGCC